GGTTTGTTGATTGGACGTCCGTGTGTATATGCCCGCCTGAACCCTGTACTAAATTGTTGAGAAAAGTGCAATTCTGGAATTTTGCATCTCCGTTGCTCAAGTGCACGGCGCCACCAAAAACCGCAGCGTTTTTTTCAAATGTCGTATCTTCAAACAACAAGGGACTTGCCCCTCCACTGTTTTCTTGATTCACGAAAATAGCTGCGGCTCCTCCGTAGTATTTGAACGCCTGGTTTCCCACAAACCGAGCTTTCTTAACTTCCACTGTTGCATTGCCATCAGCCCACATATAAAACGCACCTCCGACTTGTTTAGCAAAACAATTGAAAAACGTTGAGTTATTTATGACAATGGCTGGAACAAACTTGCTTTTTGTTCCTCCTACGTTGACGGCGACGGCTCCTCCATAGAAGTGAACTGTATTAGATTCCATGGTTAAGTTTAAAAGTGTTATAACACTTTGCGCGTTAGCTCGAAGGTAAACAGCACCACCGCTATGGTTTGCTTTGTTATTTGAAAACTTTGAGTGTTCTATAATAAGGTTGGACGTTCCATTGCAAGGTTTCACGTTTTTTATGCTTATTGCTCCTCCAACGGTGACGTCAGAACCAAGTGCGGTATTATTATAGAAGAAAGACTTGTAAACCTTCAGCGAGAGAATGGTACACATAGTGTTGCAGAGATTTGATAATTCCTTGCTGCCAAATGTTTCGCCTTCACCATCTCCAGAGTCACTGACGGCTCCTCCATTGGAGTGCACTGTATTAGATTCCACGGTTAAGTTTGAAAGTGTTAGAACACTTTGCGTGTTAGCTTGAACGTAAACAGCACCACCACCATAGCTTGCTTTGTTATTTGAAAACGTTGAGTGTTCTATGGTAAGGTTGGACGTTCCATTACAAGGTTTTACGTTTTTTATGCTTATTGCTCCTCCAACGGTGACGTCAGAACCAAGTGCGGTATTATTATAGAAGAAAGACTTGTAAACCTTCAGCGAGAGAATAGTGTCGACGTAAACAGCTCCGCCGGAATAACTGGCGCTATTCGCTTCCATGGTCACATTTCCAAGGATTAGAACAATAGGTTTTTCCCCAGATATCGAAATGGCACCGCCTATGCTGCGCGCATAGTTTTTCGAAAATACTGAGAGTAATACCGTGATGTTGCAGAGATTTGATAATTCCTTGCTGCCAAATGTTTCGCCTTTACCATCTCCATCGTCACTGACGTATATAGCTCCTCCGAAATTCTTTGCTTTGTTTGATTCCATTGTCACGTTTTGAAGGATGATAGTTGCTGGGCTGTTTGCAGAAACGGAGACTGCACCGCCATTAATGGATGCGCCGTTATTTGAAAACGTAGAGCGTTCTATTGTGATATAGCAGCCATCTGGTTCTGTCACACTCAGAGCTTCGCCAAATGTGCGGTTGGTTGGATTTTTATCATCATGAAAGACCGACCCTGAGGCGCCAATAAACACGGCTCCGCCATCTCCTGCCTTAGCTGTGTTTCCGGTGAAAATGCTATCTCGAAAGCTGATATTGCAAGCGTTGATGGAGTCAACAGCGATAGCACCACCACGAGCCGCGCTCGTGTTAACGAAGGTTGAATTGGACACACCTACATGGAACATGGCCCTTTGTTCATGATGGTCTTCTCCGCTTAGATATACGACTCCGCCATTTCCATATGCCGGCCCAACTTTGTATCCAACAAAACTGGAGTTATGGATGAACAGTGAAATGTTCGATCCATTGATAGCGAATAACCTTGTTTGTTGACCTTGAAAATGGCTGGAATCGATGAAAATTGTCACAGCAGCCCGTGTGCTTTGAACAATGCATTCAGTAGATGGTTCATTTTGGCATCCCGATGCACAGTTGTCAATAAATGTCACATCCTGAAAGTGGATGATGTGGTTGCCATTTTTCATGTTCAGGGATATAAGACCTTTGGAACTGAACTGGTTATGAATAAGGGTAACATTTTCCAAAGTTAAATCAAAGCTTATATCCTGATTGGTGTGAGCCAAGTCAACAGAGATGCCGGCCATGTTTTCAGAGAAGATCGTATCTTTGATATGAAGGCTCGAATCTATCATTTTATGTATTGTAAACTTCACACCTTCTTGTATGTCATTAAATTTACAATTTTGGATGTAAGCGGAAGACTCCAGGAAAGTCAAAGAACTTCCGCTGAAGATAATACCTAATATGTTTGCTCTGATCTCGTGTAGGGCATGAACAGAGCCATTGAATGCCAAAAATGATCCACCAGGGCATCGTATCCGAGGCAATGGATTGCCAAATCCAATCAGAGACAGACTCTTATTTATGTAAATACCCGGATGCGACGTTCCTGAATCACACGTGTATGGATTTTTACCGGTGTTTGTGCCGTCTAAGTAAATTTCATCATCATCTGTTGCCAAAGTAACAGCCCTTCCAATAGTCTTACAGGGATTCTTCTGATCACATGACCCGTTGTCCTTGCCCGTTCGAGAAAGGTACAAGTTCCTTCCCTCGGTGACATATCCTGCAAAAGCAGAGAATACATATGAACGAGAGAATATGAGAAACCTCTTTCCCAGGGCTTTTTTCTGCCGAGAGTAGGGCACGCGGGAAAAGACCCTGGCATCGGCTGGTCACGTGTTCCTTCGACACCCGAAAATCTTGGGTCGACATTACATTCCATCCACCGGGACCATCTTGTTCGAGAGAGACTGGAGTCAATTTTTAACTCGTAACAGAAGATTTTCGGGGTTAGTAGTCGATCATACATTGAATACTAACCGACAAAGGTTGGGTTTTGAGATTAAATAACGTTCTAGGCCTAATTAGGCCTAAGAGTAGCTTTTCCGAATACAAGCAGGACAGTGCAAAGACTTGCCAAAAGACCGGTGTTCGACATTTGCAGACTGCCTACAAATAACGCTGAGAGAACAGTATTTAAGTCTAAGCACCCATTTTAATACGGTTACTTTTCAATAACGGTGACAACCTCGGCCTCTCTCGAACAGGGAGGTCCTGGTGTTGACCAAAATCTTGGGTGAGATAAGTTTTATATGAAATTCGAGATTCGAATAATTGTCGGCTTGGATGGGCTCTTAACCTCGGTAAATTTCCTCCGTTTTGTTTGAAGCCTCTTCAGTTTAAGTGCTTCGAATATATGCTTTAAGGTATTGATGTTGTCACCGATGTTGATGCCAGTTTTGCCCAGAATACGAAGCATATGGGGACTTTTGTACGCACCACTACAAAGACTGCACAGGGAATTTCTTATAAATATGTTTTTGGGAGTAGACTGCGCCATCGACAATATTAGCAGGCCCTTTCGAATAACAGAAAGATTGAAATATCCGTACACCATCCAAATGCCATGGTCATGATAATGTATGTTGCCCTGAATTCCAACAGCCAACAAGGATCAAGATAAATTAGTACCCTTCCAAATATTCATTGATAACTCGTAACCCTGCACGTAACCAGCTGTCAACGCTCAACCAGTAAAAATACCCTAGTTTAAGAGCCTGCTGACACGTAAACAAGCGCGGTGACCCCATCTTTTTATTACATTTTTTTAATGTTCATATCATGAATATTGATTATGCCAAGTTTCAAAAAAAGTTTGATAGTAGAACAATTTCAAGGGAATTACCTTAAGAAAATGTTGTTAAATCGGGCGGCGGGCGCGCGTTGATGTTCAAAGAGTTTTCGAAGGTCGTTGCACGTGAATTCACATGTAACATAATATAATCCTTGACCATGAACGTGACAAGCCGCACAGTTTTCGATTTTAAACAACTTTTCAAAAGAACATTAACATTTTTTCTTCAAATTTGGAAGGTTCATTAGTTAGTTTTTCCAAAAAAAAAGTGTTACTTTTGCTCTGACAGGCGTAAAGTATGGTCGGCGACGCGAAACAATAGTTTTGTATTTTAAAAAATCGCTGAATAAACACGGGAGTCCCTCTTTGAGGTTAAGTAAATATATTTTTACCTGTTTTTTACTGCTGTGTCTGCGAGGCTAAAACATAACTTAAGATTGTTATTCCAGTAAAATACGATGTATAAAAAAGAAAAGATACCACTATTGTTGTGATATTTTAGAAACGGGTATAAATCTACAAGTCCCGGATTGTCTTTCGTCTCGTGACAAGTCATTGCGTATTCCGTACTAAAAATAAATCGCTGTGGCTATATGGCCGGTAAGGGATCGTCGTTATTTATGCCTAAGGGGGGGTCGGTGATTTTCAAGCAATTCAGGCATATGAAAAATTTACCCCTCCCCGGAAGTGGGTATTTTAAAAAATTACCCCCCCTTTTCCCCAGATATCGAAATGGCACCGCCTATGCTGCGCGCATAGTTTTTCGAAAATACTGAGAGTAATACCGTGATGTTGCAGAGATTTGATAATTCCTTGCTGCCAAATGTTTCGCCTTTACCATCTCCATCGTCACTGACGTATATAGCTCCTCCGAAATTCTTTGCTTTGTTTGATTCCATTGTCACGTTTTGAAGGATGATAGTTGCTGGGCTGTTTGCAGAAACGGAGACTGCACCGCCATTAATGGATGCGCCGTTATTTGAAAACGTAGAGCGTTCTATTGTGATATAGCAGCCATCTGGTTCTGTCACACTCAGAGCTTCGCCAAATGTGCGGTTGGTTGGATTTTTATCATCATGAAAGACCGACCCTGAGGCGCCAATAAACACGGCTCCGCCATCTCCTGCCTTAGCTGTGTTTCCGGTGAAAATGCTATCTCGAAAGCTGATATTGCAAGCGTTGATGGAGTCAACAGCGATAGCACCACCACGAGCCGCGCTCGTGTTAACGAAGGTTGAATTGGACACACCTACATGGAACATGGCCCTTTGTTCATGATGGTCTTCTCCGCTTAGATATACGACTCCGCCATTTCCATATGCCGGCCCAACTTTGTATCCGACAAAACTGGAGTTATGGATGAACAGTGAAATGTTCGATCCATTGATAGCGAATAACCTTGTTTGTTGACCTTGAAAATGGCTGGAATCGATGAAAATTGTCACAGCAGCCCGTGTGCTTTGAACAATGCATTCAGTAGATGGTTCATTTTGGCATCCCGATGCACAGTTGTCAATAAATGTCACATCCTGAAAGTGGATGATGTGGTTGCCATTTTTCATGTTCAGGGATATAAGACCTTTGGAACTGAACTGGTTATGAATAAGGGTAACATTTTCCAAAGTTAAATCAAAGCTTATATCCTGATTGGTGTGAGCCAAGTCAACAGAGATGCCGGCCATGTTTTCAGAGAAGATCGTATCTTTGATATGAAGGCNTTATATCCTGATTGGTGTGAGCCAAGTCAACAGAGATGCCGGCCATGTTTTCAGAGAAGATCGTATCTTTGATATGAAGGCTCGAATCTATCATTTTATGTATTGTAAACTTCACACCTTCTTGTATGTCATTAAATTTACAATTTTGGATGTAAGCGGAAGACTCCAGGAAAGTCAAAGAACTTCCGCTGAAGATAATACCTAATATGTTTGCTCTGATCTCGTGTAGGGCATGAACAGAGCCATTGAATGCCAAAAATGATCCACCAGGGCATCGTATCCGAGGCAATGGATTGCCAAATCCAATCAGAGACAGACTCTTATTTATGTAAATACCCGGATGCGACGTTCCTGAATCACACGTGTATGGATTTTTACCGGTGTTTGTGCCGTCTAAGTAAATTTCATCATCATCTGTTGCCAAAGTAACAGCCCTTCCAATAGTCTTACAGGGATTCTTCTGATCACATGACCCGTTGTCCTTGCCCGTTCGAGAAAGGTACAAGTTCCTTCCCTCGGTGACATATCCTGCAAAAGCAGAGAATACATATGAACGAGAGAATATGAGAAACCTCTTTCCCAGGGCTTTTTTCTGCCGAGAGTAGGGCACGCGGGAAAAGACCCTGGCATCGGCTGGTCACGTGTTCCTTCGACACCCGAAAATCTTGGGTCGACATTACATTCCATCCACCGGGACCATCTTGTTCGAGAGAGACTGGAGTCAATTTTTAACTCGTAACAGAAGATTTTCGGGGTTAGTAGTCGATCATACATTGAATACTAACCGACAAAGGTTGGGTTTTGAGATTAAATAACGTTCTAGGCCTAATTAGGCCTAAGAGTAGCTTTTCCGAATACAAGCAGGACAGTGCAAAGACTTGCCAAAAGACCGGTGTTCGACATTTGCAGACTGCCTACAAATAACGCTGAGAGAACAGTATTTAAGTCTAAGCACCCATTTTAATACGGTTACTTTTCAATAACGGTGACAACCTCGGCCTCTCTCGAACAGGGAGGTCCTGGTGTTGACCAAAATCTTGGGTGAGATAAGTTTTATATGAAATTCGAGATTCGAATAATTGTCGGCTTGGATGGGCTCTTAACCTCGGTAAATTTCCTCCGTTTTGTTTGAAGCCTCTTCAGTTTAAGTGCTTCGAATATATGCTTTAAGGTATTGATGTTGTCACCGATGTTGATGCCAGTTTTGCCCAGAATACGAAGCATATGGGGACTTTTGTACGCACCACTACAAAGACTGCACAGGGAATTTCTTATAAATATGTTTTTGGGAGTAGACTGCGCCATCGACAATATTAGCAGGCCCTTTCGAATAACAGAAAGATTGAAATATCCGTACACCATCCAAATGCCATGGTCATGATAATGTATGTTGCCCTGAATTCCAACAGCCAACAAGGATCAAGATAAATTAGTACCCTTCCAAATATTCATTGATAACTCGTAACCCTGCACGTAACCAGCTGTCAACGCTCAACCAGTAAAAATACCCTAGTTTAAGAGCCTGCTGACACGTAAACAAGCGCGGTGACCCCATCTTTTTATTACATTTTTTTAATGTTCATATCATGAATATTGATTATGCCAAGTTTCAAAAAAAGTTTGATAGTAGAACAATTTCAAGGGAATTACCTTAAGAAAATGTTGTTAAATCGGGCGGCGGGCGCGCGTTGATGTTCAAAGAGTTTTCGAAGGTCGTTGCACGTGAATTCACATGTAACATAATATAATCCTTGACCATGAACGTGACAAGCCGCACAGTTTTCGATTTTAAACAACTTTTCAAAAGAACATTAACATTTTTTCTTCAAATTTGGAAGGTTCATTAGTTAGTTTTTCCAAAAAAAAAGTGTTACTTTTGCTCTGACAGGCGTAAAGTATGGTCGGCGACGCGAAACAATAGTTTTGTATTTTAAAAAATCGCTGAATAAACACGGGAGTCCCTCTTTGAGGTTAAGTAAATATATTTTTACCTGTTTTTTACTGCTGTGTCTGCGAGGCTAAAACATAACTTAAGATTGTTATTCCAGTAAAATACGATGTATAAAAAAGAAAAGATACCACTAT